TTATTTATTACTAATTTGAAATTATTTTTGTTCAACTTTTTTTTTTTTGTAATTAAGATATGCAAAAGTCAACTGTAAAAAAATTATAAATTATTTATATGAGTAACATCTATTATTTAAGCTTTCATTTTTGGATATCTTTGTTTGAATCAATGTCAACTATTTACTTTATTTTTTAAAATATAAATAATATTAATCATAAATTATTATGATAATGAAACTTTTTCTTTTGGCATTATAATAGTTTGCGAAAGATCATTTCATCATTTTTAAAAATAAATCATTTTTTGTGTCAAATAAATGATTAAATTAAAAAATTTATTAAAAATTATAATAAGTGGATCCTTTTTCTTTTTTTCATATCTATATAAAATTTGTCAAAATACAATTAAAAAAATCATTATCTTATACAATATGCATTCTAATATATGTTACTCACGATATAACCCCTTATATTCATTTTAAAAATGACTTGGTAAGGTATATATTACGATTGTCAATGAAATTATTAAATAATAAGTAAAAAATATATTAAATTAATATCTAATTTTTATATAAAACGAAACCTAATCATGTGCATTTTTTACATATAACACGACTCAAATCATCAATAACAAATTAATATATCCAACAAATAAATAAATTCAAGAAGGTAAGAAAATAATAATTACAATTTACAAAAGGTATAACTAACCTCAAATTTTACCAACATCTTAATTATAATTTGATAACATTAATGATACAATTACCAAAATAAAAATAAAAATGAATTTTATATTTTATTATTATTAGTAAAAATAAATAAAATTTAATTCCAACAAGTGTGAAAAATGAAATTTTCAATTGCAATAGAATTTTGTTTTCTTTTCATGAATTGATTAAAATTACTTGAAACCTACCAATTAACAAAAAAAAAAAAAAAAGTTACCAAAAATAAATTCACATTTATATTATAAAAAATAGGTTAAAGTGTATTTTTTTGATATTCACATAATATCAAAAAATAGTTTCAGTATGAGACTTGTAAAATATAAGTTAAAGTGTATTTTTTTTTCTTTCTAATTAAATTAATATATAAATTTACTTACTTAATATAATTCTTATGAAAATTTATTGAATATAAAACTTAAAAATTAGCACAAGATAATACCACATGGATTTTTTAAGGAATCAATAAACAATATAAAAATCTTTAATATTTTTCACCAATTCATCCATACAAAAGAATACATCATTAATAGTTTTTAGGAAAAAAATAAACAATAAAGAAGAGATTATATGAAAATTACACTTTTACTTTTAAGATTTAAAATGCTTAAAAGATAAAAAATAAATAAGACTAAAAAGTTAAAGAGATTAAAAATAAATTTTATAAGAAACTAAAAAATGTAAATTAAAACCTTTTAATTTGTTTTCACTTTTTTATCTATTGCAATGAACAGATCATTATTAGTCTCATTAGAAAGATATCTTCTTACAAAACTTATAAACATAATTATTTAAATTACAACACCAAAAATCACTCTAAAAAATTTTAAAAATCAAAACAAAAATAACAAAATATGAATTATATAAAAAGCCAAATAATAAATTAAAATATTTAATCTTTCTCACTTTTTCATCTCTATAAAGGTAAAACCCTAATTCCTAAAAATCACTTTAAAAAATCTTTAAAACAAAAAATAAAACATGAATTTTATAAAAAAATAAAAAATAAATTAAAGATTTTTAAACTTTCTCATCTATAGGGTTTTTCATGAAGGATTCACCTTTAAGATTTCTTTAAAACTTTTTTCATAAAAATGAATAAATTGTTGATAGCTAATTTTCGTAAAAAAATTAAAAATAAAAACTTTAAATTTTAGATTGAAAAATTTTAAAAATATTAAAATAAATCATATTAGTAATTTAAGATATTGATTTTAGAAAAACAAAAGAACTTATCCTTTTAATTTTTAGATTAAAAATTTTTAAAAAAATGTATTTAGTTTGTGAATGAATTTGGTGTAGGAAAAACACAATTTAAATCAAATACCTACACGCAAACTTAATAAAAATTAAAATAAAATCAACAAAAGAAACAATGAATTCTAAAATCATAATATTTGTAAACAAATCAAATCATATCTATGATGATAAAAATTTGAGAATCAACAACATAGTTAGAACGTTATAAACGTTATAACTATTAGCGATTAAAAAATAATTATAACAACTTAAAATTTATTTTGTAATTTTTTTAATCTCGAAAACTCTTACCAATCAAACAGTATATATAATAATTTGAGATTCGATTCCCAAAGCTAATAGCATCTCTTCAAATTTAAAAAGGAACTTATCTATAAGCTAATGCTTGTAAACTTTTTGCTAAAGTAAACAAATGATTAAAATGATATTTAATTCAAATAATAATAAAAAAGTTAAAAAATTTTAAACAAACCATCCTTCTTATAATATTGCCAATATATAAAATATTAAAACAAAAATAATTCTTTAAATCTACGTAACACCAAACAATTAATGGACTTGTCACCAACAATTTAACAATGAGACAAATCCATGTGAAAAGGACACCACTAATATCTAATGAAAAATTTTTAAAAAAAAAAATTTAATTTAAAGAAAAGTATAAAAACTTAAAATCCATAAGCACTTAGTTGAATGCTTATTAAAACAATCATAAGCTACAAAGTAAAAAACACAATATCAAATATTTACTCCATCAAATATCTCTTTGATGATACAAAATGAATCATATTATCATTCACAACAATTATTCAATAATCATCTTTATTCGCAACAATATCCTTCATAAATCTTATTCTTTAATTAATATGCATTATGATTTCAATGAACGGTATAAATATAAAATCTCTATGAAAGTATCAGAAAATGATCAAATAAATTAAAAAATGAAAATAAAAGAAAAATATAACAAAAATAAATTTATTTCGTACTTTTCATCAATCAACACAATTTTTGTGCTAATACGTTATTCAGGTTTATAATTATAAATATCCTACAATTTAGCAAACACAAATTTTTATCTTTCAATTATTTACTTCAAAAGTTAACTAATCAATTATAATATACTTCAATTGGCTAAAGTTAAGTTTGAAAGTTAAATTTGAAATGAAAAAATCATGATCATGTCAAAAAATGAAAAATAATAAAAATGCAAATACTAAAAAATACACTAATTGACTAAGAAACAAACTTGAAATACCAAATAATAAATCACAAATTATGATTATAAAATTAAAAAATTAAGAAAATGCAAACACAATAATAAAAAAAAAACAAGTCTCATGACTGAAAAAAAAATGCAATATAGACATGAAATTCACTTATATAATCCTTCCATCAAAAAAAAAAAAAAAGAAAGATGAAAAATCATGAGTCTTAAGAAAATCGAAAGTTAAAACATAAAATTTAGAAAATCAAATATTTCAATAAATTTTAACAAATAACAATTTTAAAAAACATAAATAGTAGAAAATCAAAAATCATGAATCTATCTAAATGTTAGGTAACCAAACATCTATTGGATTTTATGTAATAAAATTAAGAGATATTTAAGTTTTATGTAATAAACCACTAATGACTAATGGTTATTACATTGTCTAGCATAAACATCAAATGTTCTTTCAAATAATTCACAATAATTTTGAATTAAATATATAGAATTAATTTGATTCTATAGTGCAGGATTGAACATATTTATTATGAGGTTTTCATTCGAATGCATTGAACTTGTATAAATTATTCCATTTGAAATTAATTTGGATTTATATTGTACAAACCTTAAGATTTTTGGCCACTTAGGACTTGGTAGCTCAAGTGATTGAAAAAAGGTCCTTGAGAATATTGTTTATTTTCTTCAAATATGAAAAATACATAAATAAAATAAAAAATTAAAAAAGATACAAAAATAAAGATAAAAGACGAACTGCTCCGGCTTAACATGCTAATCTGCGCCGCTCTCTTATCTATTACACCCAAATTTCCCCTTCATTTCCGACTTCTCTTCCGCTTTCCTAGTCCACGTTTTCTGCATGCAAATGCGAAACTTCACAATCCAATGTAGCTTTGGCAACTCTTCAATTCAAAAATGGTTTTTAATCCAAATTATAAATTTTTAAACGGCAGTATATTCTTAGGTTTTGCTCGGTACATGATTTTTTCAGATCAATTTAAATAAATTTATTTTTGTCGAATCTAACAAATTTATAAAAAATCACTCCCACAACCCTCTCTACGGATTCAACTCAGATAACAAAAAAGATGTGCATACTCTCTTTATCACTTGAGCCAATCATCTAACGGTAATATCCAATTTTATTCATCTGACTATCATCCCCTGCAACATTAATCCAAAAATCTTAAGTCTCCTTTTTCAGATTCAGTTTCACATTTTTGGATCCTTCTATCAACAAACATCATTCCCATTTTCACTTTTGTCACCTATAAAAACCTTATTTAAAATCAAAGCAAAATGGAGAAATGACAGTTAAAAATCACAACTTAAGATGTGATTTTATTCAAGCCGATACAATATAAACTTAAGCTTAAGCTCGACTCCAAATTCGATATTCGAAACTCAACTCAAACTCGATTGGATTTTTTTTTTTAGCTTGAATTTGACTCGAAATAAAAATTGAAGTACTCAAGCTCGCTCAATTATATTCGTTTATTATATAAAAAATAAACTCAATTCTTATACTCGACTTAAGCTTGATTATTTATACTCAAGCTCGAGTTTAAGATTTTTAACAATTATTTTTTATTAAACCTAATAAAAATTATATTTTCAAGATAATAATAATATCAATAATAATTATAATAATAACAACAACTTATACAATAACCAAATCCAAAAAATTATCTAAACATAAAAAAGTAAAAATCTCTCGCCAAATTATTCAAATACAACATTATAATAAAAGTCATAATTAAAAATTGAAAGAAATTAAATATCCAAGCAAAGAAATTAAATAGCTAACGCTCTTTGAAGGCTACCAAAAGCTGAACAAAAGTCAATCACAAACAAATTATAAATTGCTACCACAAAAAAACACAACTAATTGCAATTAATTAAGGTCCAGAACAAATAATTCATAGAATGAACAAACACAATAGTTATGGCAGTATACCTAGGTCTCCTGGGATCAGGAGAGACTAAGCCATAATCGAAAATTTATAAAGTATCACTAAATAACTTAAACCTTGTTATCTTGCAAAAGTAAATAGCGTAAAATTATTATTCTTCTTTGAAAAATAAAGGAAATAAAAGCTTGAAGAACAGACATATTTACTTAACTAATTCTAGAAGCGTATCAAACTAAACATGTAAGGAACTGATAGTTCTGCTTACAGTTAATTCTTTAAGAAATATAGTTCCAAAATAACAACTATCAGGAATGTTACCTCAGCACACAAATCATCAGAAGATGCAACTGAGAACATATGCACCAAGTCCCCTAATTAATGCAGCAAATTGAATAAATCAACATTATCATAATCAACACAAAAATCAAAACAATCATTCGCTGGGTGATTTCGGAAACCCTAAAACAAAAAGAAATCATAATAAGAAACCCTAAATCATGTAAACGAAATCAAACCAAGAAATGATTTGTATGTTAGACGTTAAAAATCAAAGAGTAAAAGGAGAAATTGAAGAAATCGTACCAACAGAGAAGAGGTAAAAGAGTGAAGGATCAAGAAAACACATGAGTGGAGGAGTGAGCTAAAACTCAGAAAGTGAGCTTGAATCATACTGTTCTGAAACAAGATAATAAAGGAAATATTCTTCTAAAGGCTAGGAAAGGAAGAGCTAGCAGAGACTAAAGATCATCAGAAGGTTACCTGCTACAGTCGGGACTTGGGATTGGGATGGGATCAAGAGAAAGAGTGAGAGAGGATTCAGAGGAAGAAGGCGCCATTGTGAAAAAGTTAGCAAATTGTGAGTTTGGGAATTTTAGGTTAGGTTACTTGTGTGTGCGTCTATATATATATAAGGGTAAAAAAATTATTTTTTAATTAAAACAATAAAATATATATTAAATTTGAAAATTTCCATTAGACTCACGAGCTACATGAAGAAGGTATAAAGATGTTCGAATTCAGCTCGATTGATATGTCGAGCTGCTCGGATTCAAACTCAGCTTGATAATAATTGAGTTGAATTCAAATTTTTTTTGAATTGAGCCCGACTAACTTGCAATTATAAATATATTGTTTACACCCCTAATCACAACAATAAAGAAAAATTACTAATCCCCTACCTCCATCAAAGCCACCATAACCAGCCACCACCAGGAAACATCCCCCAAAACCACTCAAAAACTCTCATAGCCACCAGCATTTCACTGCCATCATCACCCAAACACAATCCAAAGCACTCACATTCCAACACCAAAAATCACTATCCCAGCCTCTATTTCCTCACCACTACCACCATTTCAATACCAAAATCAAAACCGTTTTTATATATCCCTAATTGTAGTAGAACCAGACAAGACAGATAAAATAATACTAAAACCATTTTATATGTCCCTGAACAACAGGCATTTGAGAGGAAAAAGAAATAGCTGAAAATTTTGCTTAATTTAGAACTTGAATGGTAAACAAAGCTAGAGCAGATAGCCAGGCCATCTAATGATTTACAACTTAATTAACGGATGAAATAGAAATGGAAAATTTATCTTGCACCATCTGAAACATCCTGAAAGGAGACCGTGACGCAAGGGAACAATTCTAAATATGAAAACAAGTAAAGAACAAGAAATGCTATAAAATACCCCCTATATAAAAAGAAGTAAAGAACAAACAGTGCTATAAATGAGGTTAACATGTATTTCACATGCTTATCAAAATAGAAGAGGAAGCAATGCAGCACCAGGCAATTTTAATCCTGCTTGTTACGAGAAAGCCTTGCACGGTGCCTGAGTTCGGCCTTTTTCCATCTAACTATTAGGTAACACATGGAAAAGAGAGTGTTTATCTGCAGAAAGTAGAAGTTGAGGTTTAGAGAAAGGAAAAATAGTTTCAAAAAAGGGGGCACAGGAGGAGTTCCAAAACACCAACCAAGATGATGATTGCAATAGTGAGAAGAGGCCCAGACCAGAGTGCCGATAAAAAAAGTCCACTTGGATCAAAATAATTTTGGGTTGCAAATTTCTTCCAGTTGTCACCAAGGAATCTATTCAGTGACTCAGCAAAATATACACCAAGCACTACAAAACATCATCAAGCAAATAAGCTAGAAGTGAGAATATTCAAAATAAATTGAACTTCAATATTATTTCACCTTGCATGGAGGAGGTTAGATGATGCATGTGACACAGAACTGAATAATTTGCTAGAAAGTAAACAGTAGTGATGTCTTCTTATGCAGATGTGCCTTTGGATTGAGCTCACTGTTTTGAAATGCTTGATGACATAGAAATCCTTTAACATTAAGCTACTGCTGGTTACTCAGGTAAGTCAAATTTAGTGAGATTCATTAATCAAAATTTCTAACAACTGTAACAAAAGTGAATAAATAGATAAGATTTGTAGCCTATAAATGGATTTAAACTTCCTGCAGAACAGGTATGATTACTTCAACCTCCTCAATGGCAAGATGATCTTCATCCCAAAGTTTCAGCTGTGTTTCTAACTTAATGACTAGGAGCATGGCCCCAGTAAAGCTATAGGCTTAAACCCTTCTATATTCATGACAAGGTTCCAAATTTCAACTTTGTTTTCTACTTTATTGACTCTATAATGGCTTAACTATAGCAATTTTAAAACGAATTCTGAAATTGGAAGTCTATTTCTTGGATCCCTTGCTTGAAGAAAAGAACCAGACATCCTAGGGAAGACATTAACTTGCATGGAAGGTTGCTACTTTATGTCCCATAAGTACATGGCTGACTATCAAGGTTATAGGGCTATGGGCTAGGATAGAAGCAGACATGGAAGGAAGTGTATATCGTTAGGGAAAGAGTAGAGAGCCTACCTATGTGGTAGTCTCCTATGTACTTATATTAGAACATTAAATATTAAATAGTACAAATGATTAATATACCCCCTAACCTAAATACTTAACAGTGTACATACCCTAGCATATGAAGATAAACGTGGGTTCTTTTGCCTGTGAAGTCATCTACTGTAATTATTTGAATCTATTGAGAGTTCTTTTAGGTAAACGTCATCCATTCTATTGATACATTCACAAAGACTGGGCTTCTATTTCCAAATCACCAACTTGACATGCAACTATTGACGAAATTCCTATGATGTGAAATAGGACCTCTAAAATATTTAGGCCAGCTCTAGAATGAGAGAACCATATTTTGCTGTATAATCTATTTGTTTCTGCTTATTCTTTCATTATTTTTTCTTATTCAAGAGAGAGGTGGGTTTAAGGACACATTGTCAATGGAGAGAAGGCAGAACTTGTAAATATTGTGGAGCTTTTAAATTCTATTCAATATCCTTGAAACTCTACCACCTGATTTAAGGTTAACTAACAAACTATTGGGCCAACCATGATCAGACTGCAAGGCCATTATGATATATTAACATGCAATATTCCATATGTCCTTAATCATTCAACCACAAGAAGACAGTTTATGTATGAAGCTTCACATTTAAAATAAAGAAAGAAATCAATATGCTTGGTAACAAACTACTATAATCAAAAGGAGAGATCTTAGTTAATTTAATTTTAGACAACAACCATATGATTTGTTCGTACCATGCTGGGCTCTTAATTCTAGCGATCAAGATTTAATCCTTGATAGCCTTAAATACCAAAAAAAAAAAAAAACAAACAAGTGCAGAGATCTAAAATACTCATTTATTGATTATGATTGTTGATAACAGAAAAACAACAAACTTACATTCCAGAAGGAACAAACACATCTGGAAGTTAGTATTCTTCCTGGAGAAGATTGTTATTATCAGTAAGGTAACATGGAATGCCAGTAAGCACATTAACCATGGTTCCTGCCAAAAATGGGGAGAAAAGCGGGTTAGAGAATTGTTCTTAATAGATGGTGGATCAAGAACTCAAACAACAAAGAACCATAACATTTTTAGAAAAACATATGTGAATTGTTCCATATTGAACACAAGAACTATGCCTAAGACTTGATGCTAAACAACAAGTCATCTAAAAGAAGATATTTAAGGCTTTAAGCATCCCATTTGAAGAGTTTCCAACTTTCCATTGCTGACAATCGTGTATAAAATCTACATTTCTATTAGGAAAATTAAAAATGACAAAAGTTCAAAGTAACACAAGTTAAACTCATAAACCATGCATGTTATCTTTAGTTTGTTAACCACATATCAACTTCAACGTAGAGCTGCAACCTATCTAACTCAAGAAACTGCCTTTACGATGGGCAGATAAGGTAAAGAATTACAATAGGACATTATTACCAGTTTAAACTTGGGTTTTACATTGTTCCAATCACCCATTTAAATGAAAATCTGAGCATTATGCAATCAGCTTTCGAAATGAAACATATAAAAATGAATCAACTTGCATTTTTTTTCATATATTCTCTCAAATTTTAGTTCTTTAACCAACACTAACATTAGTAACATTCTCTTTGATTACAGAAAATGCTGAAGAGAAAACAATTAAAAAAAACACAGTTTCAAATATTCAAAATTTTGAACCCCCGCCGGGGGTTGAATTTTACCTCAAATTCTCGGGAACCAATAAAGAAAAAGATAAAGATATTAAAAGAGAAGAGGCAGACCTTCCAGTCGATGGCGTAAAAGAAACCAATGAAGTTATCGTAGGCGGGTCGGAGACCCGAACGGAGCTCCGAGGATAGCTTCTGAATTAGATCCACCATTAATTCCATATGCTCCTCCACAGCTGATCTCAGATCTTCCATTGCTCTCCTTTTTTTTTTTTATCAGATTCAGATCTCAAAAGTTTAAAATATTACTTAGATCAAAGGGTCAGCAAATGACAATCGGATTGGCGGACTCTTTGCTTCTATATATTCATTGGAGTTTCTCTCTGGACTTTAGAAGAAGAAAGAAAGGAGAGTTGCGCTTGTTATGGGTTTTATAATGGATTTACGAAAATTTCCTTGCTGGTTTTTTCAAGTACGCCTATGTCTTTGGGAAGCTTCACATGGTGGAAAGTGTAGGCTATTGTTCACAACTCGGTTAGAAACCGAATTAATTTAGTTTATTACTCAATTATCGATTTAATTTTGATTGATTATAAAGAATATTCTAAAATAATTTTAATTTTCAGTTGGTTTGATTATGAAATTGAATTAATCAAAATTTTAATTAAATTAAATTAAAATTTAATATAAAACTAAAAATATATAAAATAGATCATTTTATTTTATAAGTTATCAGATTCTTTAACTTAATATTTTAATATTTAAACTTATTTTGGCTGGTTTTATTAAGTTTATTTCAAAATTTACAATTTTCAATTTTCAAATATAATTTAATTTAAATATATTTTATTATTCAATAACTAAACCAATCAATTGGTTAGTTTTTTGAGCTAATAAATTTGAGTTAATTAATAAAAATAAAATAAAATAATTTAATTAATTTTAATTTAAATAATTTAATTTAAAATTAATTGAATTGATCGAATGCACATTTATAAGTCAAATTCAAGCTCTTTGAATTCAAAGCTTAAATTAGTCATTACATGCAATCACTTTTAAAATGTAATATTTAGTAGATTTAAAATTTAACATATGTAATTTTTTTTTATTTTCAAATTTGTCTTAGAAAGCAAGCGGAAAGGAATGAAGAGAAAAGGAAATGAAAAATAATTTATCAAATAAACCATCAAAATTTTCTTTTTGGTTCAATTAGGTTAAATACTATTTTAAAAGAAAATTCAAAATCATAATTAAAATGCAAGTAAATTTTAATATTTACTTTTATCTACAAAGTATAGTTTTGGCTTATGTGTTATTATTAACACAAGATTTGGCGATTGGGATTAATTTAATTATATATTTTTAAAAAGGAAAATCTTGGAGAATGCTTAATGAAATGATTTAATGGGAAGAAATTGTAATAGGAAAGTACCAAGTTGATAAATAATTGAAAGTATAGGTGACCCAGCTGGTATTTCTCTTGAACTTTGAGGGAATGGACCATGAGTGATGAGGATTAGCGCTTTAATTTTTGTGTTAATTGGATATGGACTTGGGCTTCTTATGGTCTTCCTTATTCACCCAATATCATTTTTTACTCGTACCTTTATTTTTTTAGATTTAAAATTTTATATTGTAACCTTCAAGAGTCAAGGCATATATAAGTATAATAGGATTAATATTATAAATAAATTTTAAATTGTAATAAAATATTTAATATGTTATCTGAATTTAAAATTTTTTAATATAATATTTAAATTATAAATATGTTAATTAATATATAATAAAAAATAAAATAAAAAATCCTAATATGTAATAAAATATGATAATTAAGGTTCAATTTGAGTAATACTTTTCTCTTTTGCTCTTTCAGTGAAAAGCGAAAAAGTAAAAATAAAAAAAATGAAAACAAAAGACAAAAAGTAAAATGTAAAAAATGTAAAAGCGTCCATCAAACAAAATGAAGATAAATAAATATTTTATTATATATCTTATGTGTCATGAAAAATAATTGTATATGTAAATATTCATATGTATGTATACATATATATATGTATGTATGATGGACATTCTACCTAGAGAAAGCAATACATACGTTCAATTACTTTGCAAGAAATTTTATATGTTAAGTTTGAAGAAAATTGTAGGACTCATTTAATAAACGAGTCTAATTTGAATATAGGTAAGTTCAATTTTATAATGTGCACAAATATAAGATGTACAAGCAGCTCGTGAATACTAAGTTCAACAAAAAGCGAGACAAGAAGTAATAAAATGTTCATCTAAGGTAAAACATAGATCTTTTAGCAGGCGAAACTCAATTACTAAAACTTCACTAAGAGCTTATCAACAATTCTATTACCATGAAAGAAGGGAAACAATATGGATATCATGTTTTGTAAAGCTAATCTGCACCAAAAAAAAAAAAAAAAAAAAGAAAGGTGGATGGCATAAAACTTAATTCCGATTATGTGTACAGACTATAGAAAGGTTTGATACAATGTTAGGAATTATCTGATTGGTCACTAATTACGTGATTTATTGATAAAATATTAAGTTTTTGGTCTTAAGTTTTACTTGGTAAAAATGATGAAAGAAATTAAAGATAAAAAATTTATTAATCCAATAGATAAGATATAAAATATAAAAGCAGTTATAAATATTAATCATTAAATTAATAAAATTTTCATCTTTTTTATCAACCAAAACTTTAATTTCACTTATCAAAATTCAAATAAGAAAAAAAAATCTAGTACTTTGGGCTCGAGTAGCTAAGATTAAGGGTGAGTAAATGGTCGGTTCGATCGGTTCGGTTTGAAAAAATTAATAACTGACTTAACCGATTTTCATTTAACAAATAATTGAATCGATCGAATATTATTAAATAACCGATCATAACTGAATCGATCAAAATTGGTTCGGTTCGATCGGTTCGGTTAAATAATCGATTTTTTTTTATAATTTTTCTTCCTATTATTAATAATTATTTAACTACAAATTCAATTTAATAAAATTTAAACTTTAGTATTGTTCAAACTAAATTACTAAAGAATTTAATAATTTCAACAATATTTTACAAAAAAAATAAATAAAAATATTTATCTCAATTTTTTTTATTTTTAATTATTAGAAAGTCGGTTAATTTGGTTAATGCGGTTATCAATTTTAAAAATCGAAAACCGATCGAATTAATCAATTTAATCGATTTAAAAAATCGATTATAACTAAAATCGAATAAACCGAACCGATTCAATCGAATTCGCTCGATTTTGATCGATCTAATCGGTTCAAACCGACTTTTGCTCACCCCTAGCTAAGATTGTTCCAAATTACAAGTTGTTAGCCTTTTTAAAGTAAAGAAATGGATGGGAATTAGTGTTTAGGAATGTAAAGAAAATATATATATATATATATATACATATATATATATATATCCTTCATTGCCACAGCATCTCTGATTCTTCTAACAATGTAACAACGTATCACATTGAGCAAATCATTAACCCTTTCCTTTTTTACTAAAACTGCGTAGTGTTTATGTGAATTATAGTCAATCTCAAATATATGTAAGCAATGATTTTAAATCCAGAGGTTAATACAACTTTACATAAAACATAATATGATTTTTTGGAATGATAATGAAAAAGTTGACAAATAAAGCATTCTTAATTATCGTCACTTTACATAATCCTACATGAAATTTTCACCTACGAAAGAAAATAGCATAACCAATTTATTGGTTAAAAATTAAGGGCATCAAATTCCATTATTATTTGAACTGAGTTACAATTAAGAATGATATGAATGTGTTTGAAAAGAGTAATATATATCATACACATTGCCATGCAGAGGCTGTAAGCAAGCACCTATCTTGCCACCCTAAAGAAAGAGCCTTTCCTTCATCCCTTTCAAAAACTCTAAATCCACCATTAATCTCTCCTTCTTCACATTGCAGAGGGCTGTAATGAGTCCTGATTTTCATCAGAAGTTTTGCCTGAATCAAACACTTGGAACTCAGTTTCATCTCTTCAAATCCATGACTCTCCATCCTGCTTTTCCATGTTTCCATTTTTTCATACCTTGTACACGACTTAGTTTCCTCATCCTTGTCACAGTTAACCATGGTTTTGATCTCTTTCCCAAGATGATTTTTCTCTATACTTAACCTCTCAGCACTCTCTAGTGGGAGGCAATCATCCAATGAATCAAACATGGCTGCAAAATAATGTAAAGATTCCATAAATCTTGATAAGAAACTTCTTGGGCTTCGACTACCTTCTTGCTCGACTAAGATAACAATGGATGGCCTAAGTGAATGTACTGATTTCAATGTCTCAGATATTTTTAGAAAGTTATTCAAAGTATTCAAATGTGAAACAAAATTTACAACAACTGTTTCATTTTTTTTCTTCCTCAGGTTAATCAGCTTGATCATGGGGCCTCTCAACAACCCTTGGAATTCGAAGACCAGATTGCGAAACTCTTCGGCAAAACTCACTAATCTCGTCTGAGTTTCTTGCAATTCTTCTAAGCTTCTTCCATAGCCTGTAAGACGAAGGGATATCCGCTTACAATTGGATGCCTTATCGGAAAGAGATTGAATGAGAGAAGGCCATTGAAAGCCATAAGAGACATCAAAATCAATAACATGCAATGCTCGATTATTGATCTCTTCTTCTTTCTCAAAGGCTTCGATTATAGCTTGGTTAGCAGTGAAATGAGCAAACTGGTAATAAGGAGACACCCTATAAAGACAAGTGAAAGCTAAAAACTCTTCTTCAGCAGTAGGCTCCTTCATTATCATGTCGCAAAAAGGTGATTTTCGGGTGAGAAGCCTTGCAGCTAAACCATCAGCAAAATAAGCAACAACTCGCTGTACTGAATCTCCCATTAATGATACACTTTGATACAGTTGGATAAGATTCTCCAAGGCTGGGTTCACATTATTGTTATCAACTGAAGTAGCAGCGATTAGCAACAAATGGATCAAATGAAGAGCTTTTCCATCTTCAACAACTCCTTTTCGCTTATGATCTAGCTTTAACATCTCTTCCCTCACTTGAAGAAGCTTAAATATGATCTTCCCTTCACAACTTTCATTTGATGGCTTCAAAGGCTTCGTAACATTAGCCGTTCTCTTCCTTTTTCTATTCTTTTCCACACTAGTATCTGTCACAGTAGATAGGCCGAGATTCAAAAGCTCTTCCTCATCTATGTCTTCCATGACCACTTCAAGAGAGAAATTTAGAGAAACAAAGATCAAAGAGATGGAGAAGAAGATTAAGATTTTATGACATGAGAGACGTGAAAAAGGCAAGGCTTTTATGGGGGAGAATAGCTAGATCGGAATAACTCGTAAAAATTCCCTTGTGTTATTACGCGTTAAAGGAACCAAATTAGAGTAATATAACAAGAGAGAGAGATAGGAATTCTTTCTCAAATTTTCCCTTAGAATTGGATTGGAGAGATATATAAAGAAAAGAAGGTTGTCATTATATTCTCAAGAATCAGTGTCTTAGGTCAAGAAAATATTTTGATTTTCTCAAATAAAAAAATTTTTTGATATGAAATGTTTATTGGTTTGAGTCCTTGGGTCGTTCGGACAGGATTGAAAGATGCCATATGAAGTCGACAAAAATACATGGGGAAAAAATGAGGGAATCTATACCTACCGCCCATTGAAGAGACTTGTCCACACCTTTTTCTTTCTAGATAGATGCCAATGCCATTAACAAATACTTGTCTTCGTAATCCAACTGCCTAAATCTTGTTTTAGTATTCTTCTTTTACCATGTTTCGAAAATAATTGCAATATTTGGGATTCCCTTTGGAATAAAATTTTGTCATTTGTCAAAAGTACTCTTTCAAAGTCAATATCTACAATCCAAGGATATTTCCTTGAGGCATCTAGATCCAACATTATATGAAACAAACAAGAAATTTGGAATCAAATGCTTGTTGTGCATGTTAGATTGGATTCACCCACACTCTCCTTTTATTTCAAAATAAGCCATGGATATCTTAGCATTTGACTTGATCGGTTGTAAACACATGCATCCCTATAGTATAGAGTATTGGAGCTTGAATAAGCTTTTCTTGCCCGGAATTGTACTTATAAAAAAACGACTTGTTTTGGTGATGTGACTTCAATGTCATTTGAAATGGTAAGAATAGTTCAGCTTATTATTATGTGAATTGCAAATTCTAAGATTTGGCAGACAATTATATGCCTGAAAGAGATTAGTTTCCACCAAAATCTTGAGATTAAATTCTTTAACCATCAATTCTTTTTATGACTTAGAAGAGAGCCACTGTCATGATTAGCCGGGGAAGGATGTACAGTCAAGTTATAATACTTGATTGTGCTATAGAAAAAAGAAAAAAAAAAGAAATGAGAAAACTCGTAGTTTAATTCAGTTGATTTATCTTTCGAAGTTCAAATTTCAATACTTATAATTTTTTCCTCTATTATAGGTTGTAGCTTTTTATATACATGTAGACACCCCAATCTGTATGGGGTTCTACTAAATCTGATTTTTGTTAATTAAAAAGATAAATAATAAAAAATGACAAAATGAAAAAATAGGTGATTTAGTTTGTGTGAAATTATTCGAACTAGTTTAAGCTGGGTTTATAGTTGAAGTTTAAAAGAAATTAGGATTCCTATTCGGATTAAGGTTATTTGGATCAAAACTTTATAAATACAAACCCAAAATACACACAGAAACACACAAAAAAAATCAAGGAGAGAAACGGAGAGAGAAAGGTAGAAAAGTTGTCAAAAAAATTTTTGAATATTTTTTTGGTTTAAAAAAAAGGGGATTTTTTTGAAAAATCTTGAAAATTTCCAGATTCTGACAAAAATTTTTAGTTTTCGATGAATTTTCCAACATTGTTGAATTTTTTGATGAACTTTTTGATGTCGGTTGAATTTTTTGGTGAACTTTTGGTGAATCAACTCAGATTTCGGTGACATTTTTCAAAATTTGATGAAGATTCAATTGGAGTTCTAGAGAAAGAATGAGAGAAAAGAAAGGAAGGAAAGAGAGTGCGAAAGGAAAATCTGAGAAAAAAAAAAGAATTTAGGCTTTTATAGCTTCACCAAAAAGACGTCTTTTTGGCGTTCAAAGGACCCCAAGATCCACGTATTTTTATTCGGGCAACCCGACCTGAGCGCAACCCCTTCGCCAAGCCAGGTGTCAAACTAAACCCCTTCAGTCGAGCCAAGCTTCTGAGCCTAGTCGTTGAGCCGATTTTTATTCTTGTAGCCAAGCCACATTGAATCCTCCAGCTGAGCCATTTTGTTTTTTGTATTTTTTATCTATTTTTTATTTATGTGTTTATTTATTTTTTAGAGGCATTTTTGTATGATTAAATTTGAATAAAATAAAATAAAATAAAATATTTTTTAGAATAAATATTAATTATCTAATGATGAATCTTATAAAAATTTTAAATGATAAATTTTTATAAAATTTCTAGGTGAAGAATTTTATCTAAATTTGTCTCAAATGGTAGAATAGTTTAGATAAAGTTTCAATAACAATAATTAATATTTATTTTCAAACAAAAAAAAATAAAATAAAAATAAAAAATATTAATAAAAATTTTGAAATTAAATACAAATTACCCAAAGATGAGATTCTTAGAAATTTCAAATGGTAAATTTCTAAGAAATCTCTAGGGAGAAAATTTTTTAAATTTGTCCCAAATGGTGGAATAGTTTAGATGAAATTTCAATAAAAGTAATTGTATTCTTTTCCAAATTTGGTTGAAAATATTTGACAATTATCTATGGATGAGAATCTTAGAAGTTTCAGATAGTAAATTTTTAAGATATCTCTAGGTGAGAAATTTCTTTAAATTTGTCCCAAATGGTGAAAAAATTTAAATGAAATTTCAAAAAAAATAATTGTCATATTATTTTCTTTCCAAAAAACAAAAATGAAGTAAAAAGAATTTCTAAATAGGCCCAAATGGTGGAGAATTTAGAAATTCAAAAAAATAAAAAAATATTTCTAATTTGACCCAAATGGTGGAGTAATAAGATATTTTTTCACAAAAAAACCCAAAATAAAAAATATAAATGATCAAAAATAAAATAGTTAAACTTTTTTTTTTTACGATGGAGCTTTTTCAAGAAATCAAATGGGATTCTTGAATATTTTTGAGATGATTCTTGAATGCTCTTGAGGTGAGAAAATATTTTTAAGAATTCTGCTAGATTGATGGAAAGTCTTAAAAATTATTTTTAATATTTTAACTTAAAATTTAAAACCATTAGAATCAATATCTTATGATAAATTTAAAATGAAATGATACCATTATAACCCTATTCTGGTTAGTAGACTTGAACTTATTCTTTAGGGACATTTAGTCAAGCTTAGGAGTTCCTTAAAATGACAGATTCCTTAGGTTACCAATCACACTTAGTTAAAAAAGATTGGTGGCGACTCCATTTGTTAAGTCTAGCTATAGATTTACGGATCTATATGTTATGACAGTTTAACCACTCCACTGGGGATGCTATAGAGAGTCAGGCTATAACAAGTTTAAGTTTATCCTACCCTTAGGTCTAATGGTTGTAAAGCGTAATAATTATGTTTTTTTGTTTACAAACATTGTTTCTTTTTTTGTCTTGTATTTTATTTAGGGGCTTTGAAAACCAATATGTTCCTTCACATACACTATCACATGCATTTGCATTACATGAGCTTTATACTCGGGCTTGTCATTCTTAAGAAGGAGTAAAGTACCTAAGCTCTCGTGAGATGATAATCTTGGTAATGGCTAGCAAAATATTCTCACTCAAATTAAATCTTTTTTATTGGTAGCCTATGATGAGTGAGGATTGAAATGCTTTACTAGTCTGTGATGGATAAGGATGTAAGAAATAATTTAGGAATTGTTAGTAGTCAAAATCACCTAACCCTGCATATAATGTACACTTAAGAGGCTAGCCTTAAAATAGAGCATTTTTTACCCAATGATAGATGTAACCCTAAGTTAGGATACAAAAAGGAACGGTTTGTGATTTAATCATTTTATTTGTTTGACTTTGTGCATTTTCATGTATCATTTTCATTGTCATTGTGCATCTGTATCATTTTCATATTAAATTTCATCCATGAAAATGTACATTTCATTTATGCATCAACATATCATGCACCATTTTATTTGTTTGACTTTGTGCATTTTCATGCATCATTTTCATTGTCATTATGCATCTGTATTATTTTCATATTAGATTTCATCCATAAAAATGTACATTTCATTTATACATCAACATATCATGCATAAAGCATAATATTTTTTTGTTGTAATTATGGTATTCAAGGTTCAAGGATAGCCTCACCACCCAAAAATCCCACACACTTGACTCATTAATACAATACAAAGGCTTGAGCTAAAAAATGAAATAAGAAAATTTCAATCGTCTCGAAAGGATAGAGAAAGCCTAAGAAAAGCTTGAAGGGGAATTGAACAGGATTCTAAAAGCTTTGAATAAGCTGAACAAAGGGAAGAATGTTAAAGAAAATACTAGCTAACAAGATCATTCGTTATAAAAGGTGACTAACCTTATATATCCTTCTGGTTTTGAGCCACATCAAGCCTAATCCACTCAGGATGCACCACCCTAACAGTTCACATATCTTGTAGGATATACATACCTCAGAATGCCATCAACTTCAAATCCAGGACAATATTAGAGTTATGTAAATCCTATATTTATTGAGAAGGCAGTAGAATCAATACTAATCCCAAACTTAGATGATCTATAAGAGATAAAAAAAATTAAGGCCTAAAGAGAATGAGACTTTAAAAACCTTAAAAGCTGAACAAAAGATGAACTTATAAGAAGAAAAATTACGAGCTATAGAAGGGAGTAGTTTTTATGATTTGTGATGCTGCTGGACTTTGTTTAGTCCCATATGTCATTATTCCTCCAAAGTTTAAGGTTTTGAAGTTTGAAAAATACGATGATATAAAGTGTTCAAAAACCCATATTACTATCTATGTACTATAAAAAAATGGCTACCCATGCTAATAATGAGAAGTTGTTAATGCATGTATTCTAAGATAGCCTTGCTAGCTTTACTGCTAGATGGATATATCCAGTTGGACAGGACCCATAATGTGATATGACCTATGACTTCATTAGTTAGTATCGACATATCATAGACTTAGCCCTTATCGCTTGTCTTTGTAAAATATGAAAAAAAAGGTGACTGAATCATCAAAGAATATGCTCAAAGGTGAAATGATATAGCTACTTAAGTACAACCTCTTTTGATTGAGAAAGAAACCATAGTATTATTTGTCAGCACTTTAAATCTCTTTATTATGAAAAGATAATAGGGAATGTCACAAAAAAATTTGCCAACATGGTAATCTCAAGTGAAATCATTGAGAATGCTATT